ATAAATACTATGAAAATCACACCTGAGAATTTAGTAGTGAAATTTCCTAAATTCAGTACACAGAACAAGTAAAATTTTAGAAGTATCGAGATGAATAAAACATAATACCTAAAAGAGCAAAATTAAAACTAATATCTGACTTCAAAAGTAAAATTATGGAAGAAAAAGACAAGAAGTTAAATGACTCCTTTGCTTTTCAATATTCTTTAAATGCTGAGTCTCTCTCTGATTTCTGGACTCATTTTACCTTTGTTGTTATACTTAAATAAGTGTCAGAAAATCAGTTTTGAATGATTAATTTTCTCAAAATTTTTAATTATTTATTTAGTGATGAAATCCAGCTCTACTACTATATTTTCAAAAATTCAAAAATATGATTCCGTTGTAGCTTTATTTATTTTAATCATTCACAAATTTTAAGCATAATCCTTATATTCTTTGAACCTGAAGCTGGATAGGGTCTATTCTTAGGTCCTTTGCTTCACTAGTTGAAGCATTACAAGGCAAGACGTTTGTAGTCACAGTACACAGCCAAGGTTTATTATATAATCAACACTCCACACAACAAAGAAACAGATTCCCTGACTGAAGAGGGGGCCCAGAAATGGATCATGTCTACCCCAGTGGAGAGTCTTGGATTTATACTTTATAGGGTAGGAGGTAGACCAGGACAGGGGCTCCTTTTTCTTCCTTTGGTTTGGACAGGGTAGGATGCACTTTGTTGGCTGGTTTATTCACATGAAACAAGAATCTGATTGGGTAGAGAAAGGGCAGACAACTTGAAATTCCTGCCAGAGGGGAGTCTCAGGGTGGCAATGGGGGAGCCTAAAGTGCCGACTTTGGGCAAGAACCAAGGAATAGGCCATTTTGATTATAAGTAAGAATAATTGGAACACAGCTGAATCTATTCTGGGGTCTCCTCTGCTTTCTGGGGACCTCCTCCCCTGACTGCCTAGTTCAGAATTAGCTATCTTCTAATCTCCTTCAGTACCTCTTATCCTTCTTTACCTCCTCTAAGAGGTCATTCCAATTACTGATGGTGACAGGTATTGGGAGTGGGTCGTAGGTCTCTGAATGCTTCCTGCTGATTGAGGTCATGGTGACAGCAATCAGGATGTCCATTGGAGAGTTCTATCTAGGAGGCTGCTGGCTGGGATTTGCTCCAATGTTGGTTGCTGCTGTTTATGCTGGGTTGTCCAAAAAGCCTTGAGAAAACTTGCTGCCTGGTGGGTTGCTTTAACATCAGTGCAGTTGGAAGCAGGAAGGATGAAAATTGCCATTTGGTGATGGCTAGGGTGCTCTTGGTAGCCTCAACAGGTGTAACAAATTACCTCAGGGGGAAGCAGTACCACACTAATTAGAATAGCGATGAGAATGTTCCCATCTGGACCTGGGAGATAGAATTTTGGAGAAAGAGGAGATATCAAAACCAGCAACCCCCTCCCCCCCAAAAAAGTCAACTGGCTTTATCACATTCTTTTATATCTCTTATTCATCCTTCTCAGCTTAGAATTCTCCATAGTTGGTGAATTACTGCCACTTGGTCTGCCATTAATATATGAAGTATATCAGTTTCTAGTTTAAATGTAGAAGCAGCCTGAATTGTCTCAGAAGTCCTGACCTCATGAGGAATGGAGAGGTTTAACGTTACCTTAAGACTTTCCACTATAACCTCATTATGGTAGGTTTGATTTAGGGTTGAGAATTTAAGGACTGACATAAGTTGTCCAATATATACTATTCCAGTTTTGTTTGTGATTCAAGTAAAGGTTTTGCAGTCAAAGTCAGTTAGTATCATTCTTTCATTTTTATTTCCTGCCCAGCATTAAACCCTTGGCCATATACCACGCATTTTGTTTAATGGCATTAGAAACCAAAGGCCAAGTTTGGGTTACATATTAATTCCATTATTTTTGAGGGCCAAATCACACATTATGATCTCATCTGCAACTGAAAAGAGAGACAGAGTCCCAGTGGATCTGATCTTTTAGTATGGTCCATTCATGGTCCATAGGTACTACTTGGTTGACATTGAGAATAGTCACAAGTCCTGTGAGCTTTTCTACAGGATGCTGGATTGCCTCATTGATTCTTGGGACTTGGACTAACATAGTGCAGGTGTCCTGGGTGCGAGTGGCCTTAAGAATGTCCCAATGAGGAAGGATGCCAAAGAGTGTAAATACTTTTTAAAACTTTTTTGCTTAAATTTTAAGAGAGGGGCCCATTAACACATTGCTAGTTCAGATTCTGTTTGTCAATCAAAGAGCATTTTGGGAGTTTGGGCACAGGCCTTTTCCCAAGTAGCTGTGGTACCATATTAAGTGTGAATGTTGACAAGATACTAGTCCAACCTTGTAGGCCTTTATCCTGCTTTGCTATAGCCCTCCGCCCCCAGCCCCATCCTTCTTCATCTTGGAAGGTTAGGCCCACTTGATGGCCTAATTTGGAGATAAAGCCCTCTTTCTAGAATGTCCTTCTTCTCTCTGGGCTCATTCTATCTCTCCTGAAATCCCCAGTCCTGTTCCAATGCCCCCAGTAGATTTTGATGTTGTTAGGAAGGACCATCTTGTCTGGTGTTCATTGGGGAAGTTTTGAGAGACCAACCATGAAAGGAAGTGGCTGAGGAAAAGTTGGGGTATGTAGTGTCAACCCAGAAGTGGGAAGTATCCCACTGTAGGTTTAGAGTTGTGGGAATCACCACCAAATAGGGTATAGTCTTAGTTTGCTATTGGGGGTCCCTGGTTTGTCCCTGCCATAAAGATAGAAGGTTACAGTTGGCTTACTGGACCACTAAATTACCTCAAGAAAGACAGGATTTTTAATCAAGGAGTTCTATGAGCAATCCAAAATTGCAAAGACTACTTATGGGGCAGTGTCTTTCAGACAGGTTTGGTGTCACACCAAACTCCATCCTTGAGCAACTGCATTTTGGGGGTCACGCATGACTACAGGGGTGATACAGATGGCCTCAGGTGGGTGAGTGGAGTTCAGTAGTATATGTGGATCTTGTACCAATGTTAGGAAAATTGGTGTGATTTTGGATAGTCTTTGGCCCTGATGTCTATAGAAAAGGGTTTCCAGAAGCTTGTTAGTTTGATGCAAGTTTAAAGAGTATTGTGAATATTTTAGTATGAATCGAGACCCCTTAACAATAGAACTTAGTCTACAGATATAGATGCCTTCCTGGCTGTCCCTGACCACTTCACAGCCCATTTTAGTGATGGCACTGTCAGGACTGGGAAGAGTAAACCATGGGTATGTGTTATGGTTAAAGAATATGAGAACCTGCCGGCGGGGCGGGGGAGGCATTGAATCAAAGTCAGGCGGTATCCTTGGGTACCTAGAGAAAAGGCCACCAGGAAGAATGGCACCAGATAGTAACTTGAGGCAGCCATACTGTAAAGAGGAAGGAGAGAATAACTAGTCCTATCAGAAGGGCTGACCCTCATGCATACTAGGCAATGTGCAAGGCATGAGAAAGACTTATGTAAGTTTGAGGGATGTTGAGACTTATTAGAGTTTGGGGAGTGTTGCCTCCAGGAGTACTCTCCTCTCAAAGGTTCACAGGTGTAATGGGTCTCAGCGATGGCCTGGGGTTCTGTTGTCTTTCCTGACAGTTCCAATGAGGTGTC